TGTTGGTTTTGCCCTAGATATTTGCTATCAGTTATTGTTGCAGATTTTGAAGACTTTTTTTGGAATATTTGACATCATAGTCTAATTTTTTAGAAGTATGAAGTCCTGAGAAACTAGAAAAGGAGACAATACAGGAAATTATTTTAAAGAAGCAAACCTAAGTAAAATGCAGGTCATAGTAGAGGACTCTGTTGGTGTCCTCACATGAAGCCAAAGGTCATTCAGGATAAATGACTTGGACAAAAGAGGACATCGCCATATTTCAGTGCATAGATAGAGGAGTAAGAGTAAAGAGTTGATTTTACCTCTTTCAGTGACAATGTTGAGACTGATGCTGGAATGTTGCATCTTAATTGGCAACATGAAGGGAAATCAAAAGATATGCAGAGATGTGAGAGTGAGACATACAGACGATTGAAGTATTGGAGAAAATGCCTGAGCCTCTGATCAGATGCGCTCTTTGAAGTCCAGCTGTGGTAGCATTTCTGCCTGATTCGTTGTCCCTACTCTACTGCTGAAGGTTACCATTCCTTCAGGTCTGTCACTGGAGTTCCTTGGATGAGTGACCCTCTTCATCCAGAACATCTGAAGCTGATTGAAGCATTTAAAGAACCAGGTCATTGCTGAAGCACTTCAGTTGACCCAAAATAGGTGGAGGGACACTCACAGAGGCAGCTCCAAGCTAGCAGAGGATAGTGGTGGAGCAGCTGAGGTGGGCCAAGGGTTGAAATCTCCCAGCATAAATGCTTGCACAGTGCATGTCTTGTCTAATGCCAAGAGACTAGTCTTGCTTCAGAAAGGCTCACCACATTTTGGGAAAGGAACACATGGAGTCCAGCCTTACAAACAGCTAAATAAGCAAAACTGGGGGGCAGTAGCTTCCGAGAGAGCAATCATTTGGGGACAAGGTTTGGGCTGGAGAGCTCTTAAAGCAGCTATTTAGCCAAAGGATTTGTGACATGGAACTACACGCTTTGAGAGCTTAATCTATTTAGTTTATCAGACAGTTTGTGAGAAATAATTCCATTACATATTAATATGTTCTCAGAGTGAAAAGAGTTGATACTGAGGCTTTCTAAGAGAAGAAAATATACAATGAGAGTACATGCAAATTTAAAATTAGATGCAAAAGTTAGTAGTGAAGAAAAGTAACTTTTCTAGTAAATGACCAGTTAGTGGTTTCTATACCTCTTTATGTGATGCTGAAAAATATATATAAAAATACCAAGTTAGTGAGCTTAGTGCACAAGTACATGGATAAAAAGTCATAGCTTGTGATGCCTAGAGGGTCATATATGTGACCCAAAGGTCACTTTGAATTTAGAGTCTGTAGCTCTGCAGCAGCAATGGGGGAGCTTCTTGTTGCTGAGGGCTGAATAGGCCTTTCAGGCAGTTTTGGCAAGCTCAATCCTAACACATTCATTACTGATTCAATTGTAATTTGGGAGGGGAAAAAAGCTATGTGGCTGCTGGCAGCATGAAATGAAGTTGTGATTATGCCTTGATTTTTCTAAGCTGATCTGTGGGTTTCATGGTGGAACAAGCTTTTTATCACGCTTTATAAAAGATACTTGGTGACCTTGCTTAGTTCACAAGCAAGGGGAAGCACAAGATAAAGAGCTGGTAGGTGGAGTTATATATAAGAGCATAGGGGTGTATATGTATGTAGACCGACTGCAGGGGTGTGCTGCTGCTTCTGGGTAAAAGATTTTTGTTTCATCTGCAATTAAAGGAGAGTTGATGACGGGCTGGCAGACAGATGGTTCTCCTTGCAAGTATTTTAACTGGGGAGGAGCGGTATCAGTCAGAAAGCTGATACATTACTGAGTTTGATTGTCTGAAAATAGTATTTGCTAGTATATTATTGCTAAATGTTTTGTCAGAAATGTGATTTTAAGTAGGTCGTTAAAAAACAGCATCCATTGTTTTAAATTCAAGACTTCTCTGCCTCCTTCCAAAATATCACGGTGAATTACAGCAAATCTCAGCAATGTCCTTGTAAGCAAACAGGAACAATGAAACCTTTATATTTGGTGCTGCTGAAAAAATGTTCCTGTCTGGAACAGTATATTTGCTATTTTAAAACAAAACAAAAGAGATAAAAATATAATGAGTCATGTGGCAATGAAAATAATAATCTGTTGCTAGCAATCGGTGTATTTTTTATTATGGAAAGTCAGTATTTATTGACTTTTATTGACACAGACATTTATATCAAAATGGAAGTTGGTAGTTTGTCATGTTACTTAATTAAAAATATTAGTGGATCTGCGAACGTAGGAAGCAAGAAGTTACAATTCTGTTCTTACTAAAGGGCTAGGATGTTTAGAATAAAATTCTTGGAGAAATTCTTAAAGAACCTTAAAAAGCTTGTTTAAAAACCAGAGCAGTTTGTGTACAGTTCTTAGTCGTAAACAGATTTGTAACACAGAAATACCTGAAAGTTAGAAAATAGCTGTTCCTTGATGGAGTTTTTTCCTTGTTTTTTTTAATCTTTGATTTAGCAGTCTAGGCAAGTGATATGACTGTACCCAGCATTATCCTGACTTTTTAAATCCATTTGCCATTAGTTTGAGAAGAAATTATATACAGATATTATTTTTTAAAAATTGTAGGATATTACACAGACAGAATTAAGATGCCTGTGGCATTGAGATACCAAGTCTGCCTAAAAAAGAAAGCTTTCTTAAGCAGTTCTGTCCCCGTAGGACAACCCCTTGTTTTGTGCTTAGCAAATATTGGTTACTCTACCATTGACTGTCTACAGAGTGCAACAAAACAGAAATGCCAGCTGAAAAGCCAGTGTTAATAAAAGTAGGTTGAGGGAATTAAATATAGCTGTCTTAGGCCCTGCTCCAACTATTTCTATTGTCTGACTCACGGCATGACACAGAGTTATTGACTAATGGATATTCTTGGGTCTGTATACCTACGTACATCAGAAGTCTGTGCCAGAGCTTGCTGACCAATTACCTTGTCTTACTCTCTGACGAGCTGTTTCGCTAATTTATCAGAAAATGTGCATGTTTTTACCAGAGTAACTCATGACATTCATGGTACTTTCTTTTTGTTCATTTGTTCTGTGTTCATTTTTTACTGCAGTATTTTTTTCTTTCATGCTAACTGACATTTTCTACCCTCTCTAGGGTCCTCCGGGAGGTGGAGGGCCACCAGGAACACCTATCATGCCTAGTCCTGCAGGTATTGAAATGTACTCAGAAATAATAAAAGATAATTATAAGGCATATTAGGAAGCACACAAATTATTTTTCAGACTTTGATTTTCATGAAAAATCTGCTAATGAGAGATTATTAGATTTGTGCTTTCTGTATCAGTTTTTTTCCTGCGCTTTCACACTTTCTCTCCCTGCTGTCTTGCAGAGGTCAAAGCATTGTATCTCTGCAGTTCAGAGCGATTAATTTCTCTGGCTTTTGAGCCCATCTTTTCTTGCACAATTTCAGCAACGGCAAGTTAAAAACTGAAGAAGTCGTGGTCTTTATTTGCTTTTGCTAGTGTTCTTTGGGATCATTCCACCAGTTTGGAAATCAGAAGATTTCTGAATCTGGTGAAACTTCCCCTGTAGTATCCTAAGGAATAGACCGGATAATGTGTGGCTCTTGAGCGATGTGCTGCATCCCGCAGCTATGCTGTCTGACTGACAGCAGGGTCATGCTGGACAGGTTGCTCTCCTCTCTCTTGCAATGGAGGAGTTAGGTCCCAGAGGAGGCATCATCGTGTTCTACCAGTGGTCTGTTCCCAGAACTTCAACTGCCCCACTGTTTCTCCAAGTAACGTGGGCTGTATCTTGCAACTCTGACCACATGGAGATTTTGGCCATACAAAAGACTGGCTACATTTCTACTAAGGTTTGATGAACCGAAGAGGAGGATGGGAAGATTCAGGATGGCTAGCTAGCTTCTCAAGGATTAAAGATGGTCAACTAGATGGGCGTATTTCCCTCCATTGATTTTCTGCAAAGCTTCTGATATGAAGGTGGAACTGCAAGATGTGGAGGATGCTGTCCTCCCCCATGGACATCATCAGAAATCTGCTAAAATGAGACTAACCCAGTATTATAACCCAGTATTCAGTGGCTACTCCTCTTGGCCAACATCTGCCTTAGTAACTCACTTTCACCAGCTAAGAGAGACTTAGTGAGGTTACAGCATCCTCAGTCCTTATTGTACTATATGTTCTTGCTGCACCGTACAGCACAAGAGGGTAAGGAGGTTTCCTAAATGCCCATGAGAACTTCTTGCACCAATATAATATCTTCATTTAATACAATTCCAGGACTTTAAAAAATGCAACCTGAGATAAAGAATAAGGTTTCATTGTTTGTATCATTAGTGAAAAAGATAATTGGTGCAAATTGTCATTTGAAAGTTAGACTCTTTTAAGATAAAACAAACTTCTGGCCATCCTGCACTTTTAAAAATAGTCATCACTGCAGTTACAACACATTAGGCTGTGCAGCTCAAGCAAAGTTTCTGCTGACAATTGTTCCCATTTTCTCCTGGACAGTCAAAGACATTTTGAGATTCTGTTTTCCAAAGTATGAAAACACTTAGAAATTGGCCACCTGAGAATTTTGCAAACATACTTACTTGCCTCTGAGACAAACCAACTCCGAGGGTTCCCATGACCCAGCTAGCCTGTATGTATTTTCACATGAGCCAGCAGAACATGGAGAGCCAGGCATGTGTGTTGCAAGAGGATCTGGTGGTTGAAGAACTTGTTGCCTACCTCATCGAACATTAAAAATAACTTTTCATGTGCTAATTTTACTTTGCTAACTTTAAGCTAAAAGCTTTTTGTTCCTGCTCTTCTTCAAGCAACATGTTTGAATGTTGTAGTGATTCATAGTGCTCTACATAGAATGGAATTATTTACTCCTCAAGGTTAATTAATGTTTAGAAAACTGTCTTAGAAAGATTAAGGAATAGACAAAGACCTTGGTTTTAACTGCTCAGTGTACATGCAAGTACCTTCTTGCAGGAGGTCAAGGATGCATTCCCAATTCCAACATTTCAGTCTGATCTTGGCTTTCTCGCTTTCACTACTTCTGACTCAGGAGTCCCCCATCACCTTGTCTTGGAAAAGCAATTACAGCTCAACAGTGGGTTTTGTGTGTATTGTTAATCTCAAAACTCTGGTTCAAAGAGGTGGAATGGTCTTTTGGAGGAGCTAGGTACAGAGTACTAAGCTACTCTTTATTCTTTTTGCAGGTACTATAGAGGTACTGATTTTACAGAGTTGGCAATTTTTTTTTAAACCATGCTATCCCCTTAGGGATGTGTTTAGAATTTTCTTAGGTCATTCTCATCACAGTAAACTTTTCTCAAGTTCCCTTAAGAAAGATTTTTGCCTAACTTTCTATCATCTGCTGCATTTTTTGCCTTCTCTTTCTTACAAATATTGATGAAGGATGTTAAGACTTTGCATGTGTTAGCAGTAGGGATAAGTTGGAGATCAGAATGAATAATTTGTATCTACTAATGGGTCTTAGGCATTGTTTTCTTAAGTTCAACCAGAAGAGTTATGTGAGTTGTCTTCTGTGTCTTATTAATTAAATCTTACATTTCAACTTTGGAGGTGCTCCATCTGAAAGTTCATGTGCATTGATCAGAGCAAAAGGGCTGAGATGCAATATAGCTGTGTCAATGTCTGGCAAGGCCTTGGCAGAACTTACTAGCTTAAGCATTGTGATGTGCAAGGATGGTTTTGTTGGTTTTGGACTCAGGGTTTTTTGAAGCATTGTACCACACTGTGCATCAGTTAAAGCAGCCCTTAGAGCAGGGATCTTTGCACAATGTTCCACTGAATAGTTAGATATATCCAAAATCAAAGATTGACATGAATGAAAATAAAAAAAAATTTATTCACTAAACAAAGTTGCAGTCTGCATAATGAGAATCTATTTATCATTTATTACAGATGGAAAACAAATTACAGGAAGTATTGATAAGAAAAACTCCTGTTTTATAAAGAATATTGAAGATTAGTGAAGTAATTTGGAACTTCAGGAAAAAGGATTTATGGAATTAAATAGTTACAGATACATGATGATTTATAAGCCTTTTAACAGTCATGCATAAAACTAGAGTCTAGAAGTAGTCACTTAGGGACCATTGCAATTATTTCTTTTCATAGCTCTGTTGTGTGGTAGCAATAGATAGAAAGAGAATGAAATCTTCCATTATATTGCCACTGTGTATCAGTGATTCAGGCACAGAAATAATATGAACAAAATGACAGGAAATGTATTAGGTGAGTAGTTTTATTGAAAGGTATATATTAGCACTTAAAATAATCTCTTATTACAGATTCAACCAACTCTGGAGACAACATGTACACTTTAATGAATGCAGTACCACCTGGACCCAACAGACCTAATGTAAATATGAATCTAGTTATATACTTCTTTGAATTATACAGCCTTTTTTTTTAGTCCAAACACTACATTTCCATCACATATCATTAATACTAAGTTTTCCATTCTTACTGGTGAAGCTTCAGTTGGTTACCCCCACCATGTACTTTTTAATGTTTCCCAAATCAATCATGCCAATACATGCAAAATAATGATTGGGGCATATTCTTCTACATGGAAAAGACCTTAGAAGCTTCTGCATGTAGATCTTGGGGACAATTTACTTTGTCACACTGTGGTGCAATAGACTTCTGTGTCATAGGACATCATCCTAGGAGCTGCCACAAAGCATTAGTTTCTGCAGGATTCAAACTTTTGTTATAAAAAATTATCTACTCTTGAAAAGGGAGGAGAAAATTGCTGAAGGTGACCCAGTATTATGTTGCCCTACCATTCTGTAAAAAAGGATAAAATGAATGTCTCTGAGATGAAACAAATTTCCCTGTTTATCTAAATGGGATATTAAGAATGAAACCTATCAATAACATTTAAGTATTTGCCTAATGAACTAGTTAACTTGTGACTATTTTAGCCTAAATTTCAGGAGTTCTAGAGCTGACAAAAACCTGGATTCTTAGGTAGAACTTGTTTCTTCTCTGATCCTTCTCTATGTCTTCAGTTTTATTGTATTTATTTCTCTGATTACAGCCATATGTCATTTAATCACGATCCATATTATGGGCCTTTGGAAAAAAAGGCCAGCAGAACTTAAAAATATAGATATTTAGATATTGCTAAATCATTATGCAGTGAATTTTAGAAATTTTTCTGTAATGTTAATGTCTTAAGTTTTTGAAGAATTAAATTTAAGGTTAATATCTGAAATTGGACAGAAGCTCCTCATGCTGCAAAGGTAATGTGTGGTAGTCCAACTGTCATTATGGATAAGGTGGGATTTGAAAGCTGTTAATTAATTAATTACTCGCTCAAGAGAATCATTAAGTTTCCTGTAGCTTCAGTGGGAGTAGAGCTAGGTCAGCACTAGCAGGTTTGAAAGTCAAACACTAATTGTTGAAGTAAATAATAAATTATTCCTAAGTTATATTCCAATCTACAGAGGTGAGAGTTTCCAAAAGTCATGAAGGTAGCATTGCAAAAAGTCAACAAAAGCAGTGATGTTTTTGCAGTCTTCGCATGAAAGACTTTGACTTGACTTGCGCATTCAGATCTGGGACTGTGCATTTTTCCTGTAGTGTTTTGGGGTTTTTTCCCTGAGGAATATTTTCTTTTTACTAGATTATCTACAAAAAATTGTACAGTAATACCAGTTTTTGATGTCTGATCCTTTTGTAGTTTCCAATGGGGCCAGGGTCAGATGGACCTATGAGTGGACTGGGTGGAATGGATTCACATCATATGAATGGATCATTAGGTAATGATAGTAAATGTTACAAACATTGTCAATTTTCAATGACTAGTGCCATTTTCTATGAGTAGTTCTCTGAGTCATGTGAAAGACTGTATGTAAAAATTTTTTAAAAACTGAAAAAGTTGTATATACATCAATAAGAAGTATTAAGATACTTTTTAAGCATATGACTTGGCATACATCATGCACCTATGGAAGAAGAATACTCTGTTTTATTTATATGAGAGTATAGTTTTAATCCAGTTGATTAAAACCAGTCTAAAAGCATACCATTGCAGTAACAGAGAAGTGAAGGCTTAAGAACCATTTTTATTTACCTCTCTTCCTCTTTGAAAATCTTGGGAAGGTGTCATTGTGACATGCTGCTGCACATTCTTATCAATTACCTGAAGTAAGTTATTACATATTTCGATCTATCTGTTAAGCCATTTTTATCCCAACATTTTGATATCCTCATTTGTTCTATACTTAGCCATGTCTCTTTAAGTGTGAGTATTATTCCTCTATCCCTGTTAAGCATCTTCAGACAGGTGCCAATTGTAACGCACCCAAAAGAATGTGAATTCTTGTCAGGGCATGCAGAGGCAGGAGGAACAGTGTACTGCTTGACTTCTGACACTGTGATTTTTGAAGGACTCACATCTAGGGGAGAAGCCTTGCACAACTCTGCAAAACACACACTGCTTTATCTCCTGACTATCCTTGCAAACTCTTTGCTCTTACTCTTTGCTGGAAGCATAATAGACACTTGAAAGGGATTTAAGAAACAAGCCACAGCTAAATAAATTGGATTTGTGCCTTCCTCTTCCATACCCACAAGGTAAATAAATACCTGATTTTTGTTTCTGCTCATACCCTAACTCCAGGCCAGTAGCTCTGAATACAGTTCTTGTGTTGTACTCTTCACTTCTGTCTGCACCAAGGGGTGCTGGTCATGCAGGCAACAACACCGGGGAACCTCAGGCTGCAAAGACTTCAGATCTCTTTCTTCTTCTATCTCCACTGTCCACCAGCAAGATTCTTTTTTACATCTGGGAGCTGGCCCATTGCCCACTGGGGACACCAGCAACACCCTGCTGAGCAGCATTTTCCTTTATGGGGAGAAGATCAAGTGAGCTAGATACAGGACAGGCAGGCAGAAGCCAAGCTGCCACTGTTCCCTGTGCTTCTATCCCCAAAGAAAAGCTCTTTCACCCTCCCAGCACAGACATGGACCAACCTGATGTCCATACCATTTAAGTCCATCCAACCATGGTGGATGGAGATCTACCACTTGTAGCCCAAAAGTTGGAGGATGTGAGACAGGAAGTATGAACAGGTAAGAAAACGGGAGAACTTGGAAAAGGCTATGAGAAGATGAGAAAAAACCTAAGCTATCAAACCTCACTTAGCAGACATGTTCTGAACGATTAAAATTCAGCACTAGGTATCTATCATCTCCTAATATAATTACCTTTTCTTCTAGGAAAGCATGTCCCTGAAATTCCTAGATTACTTTGCGTGAGGACACCTTGTGATTTTACAGCCTTTCTTTACATATTACGATCCTGAAATGGATTGTTGCTTTAATTAATAATGATGCACATTACATTCAAGTAAATTAAAAACTGTGTAAAAGGTAGTCACATCTTTTTCTGTCACTTTCTGTAGCCTGAGAATTATTTCTTAGCTAAAAGAAAAAAATAAATTGAAACAGTTATGGAAGGATTTTACATATACTTAGCGTTTGTTATTTTCTCTAGTGAAAATGATGATATGCTTAGTCAAATTAATGATGACTGCTTTCTAGGGGTAACTTCATATCTAAACTGGAACCTGAGCTCTTTTAGGAGAGGAGAGCTGGGAGAGATCTGCTGTGTTCGTTTCCATGCTGCAATAGGTAGCTGTGTCTCAGATGGATAAATTAGCCAAGGTCCATCTTGAACTTCTCCAACTTCTTTGACCACAACCCTTCTACTCAGTATCTGTTCATAGCTCTGATGGTTAGAAATAAATCTTTTCCTGATTTCCACCAAAATTTATCTTTTGGGCTGTGACAAAGTGACTCTTCCTAATGTTTATTTATCTGATGTATTTATAGAGAGAAATCATATTTCTTCTCAGCCTTAATTTGCCTGGCTAAGTATAGTAAGCTATTTCAGTCTCCTCCCACAACTCCATTTTCTTGATTGTTTTTCTCTGATACTCTTCTAGTTTGAATTTGTCTTTCCTGAAAAGAGGTGACCAGAACTGTTTACTATCTGTGGCTGCTGAAAATGCTTTTTTTGATACGTCCATCCTAAAATTATATTTCCTTTATTCTTAGCTTTATCTGAGAGCTACAGTGTGTGAAAAAAATTCTTTCCAAGAGTCTCATTATATTTAATTTTATTTGGTTTCTATTACTTTGGTCCTCTGGATCACCCGCTTTCTTCTGAAAGATACTGTCATCATCAGTATTTGTAATGCATCAAAAGTTGATGTCATTTCAGCCAATTTCAGTACTAGGCTTCTGCTTCTTGGGGCAAAGACATTGATGAAACCCTTGCTGCTGACCTTGGAGATACCCCACTGGACTTTTGAGTAGCTGAAGTTCAGTGGTCTTTTTTTTTCTTCAGGAACATCAACTTGTGCTAATTATCCACAATTTTGCTTTTTTCTTCCCTCAAGCTGAAGCAACATTTCCCTTAGGTGGATACACCCAAAACTGATTACCTTTCCTGTACCCTACCATTGCTAATCGGTCAGGGAGGTTGAACATAGGGTTTGTTGAGTTGTGTTGGGCTGTCTCATCCTGAAAGGATGCCATCCAAATAACTGACACAGATCAGAAGTGTGTCCTTCATTCTTCTCTCACTTTTTGCACTGGGTGTGTACACAGAGAAAGGATTAACATTATTCAATACTGACTGTAAACTTTTACTAAAAGAGACATTGAGAAGGAAGTGAGATGACGCATGATTGGTTATGTTTTAAAATACTGCTGTTACACTATATATTTACTATGAAAAAATCCTTAGATTAACGTCAGCTCAAAACTAACTGAATAATTGTCTATCTTAATTTAAGGCTCAGGAGACATGGACAGTATTTCCAAAGTGAGTATCTAATCAAATGTTTGGAATTTTTAGAATATTTCACTCTAAACATATTTTCTTTGTCTCTGTTATGAACCTTTTTATTATGTATCTACATTTTCTGCTTGTCAACTCTTTGGAGGCTATGCAGACAGAATTAGTATTAATTGAAAACTTTAAACCAATATAATCAATAGTGAGTGTAAGTAGACTTATTTCCTACTGCATAATAATGTGTATTAATGAATGTGTTTAATTATATCCAGTTCATAATCTGATTGATCCTGTTATAATCTTCCATACTGTTAAGACAAATTAATATAGTTTTAATAATCAATTCTAGTTTAGTTGAAATCTGGGAAAATGTCACTAGAACGTTACTTTTATATATTGCATGATTGCTTTTGTCACCTATGTAAGGCAATGTTAATATCTTCATCATTAGTGTAAGTTCCTAAAAGGTAGATTAAGAAGTAGTTTCAGAAGAAGCACTGCTTTGATATCACAACCGTTAAATAGTACACTGGAAATAAATGTGAGCTTAACCTGCAGGGGTTTTACATCTACAAAAAAAAAAAAATACTGTGCTTGAATGTGTCACTACTTCTTCACAAAACTAGTACATATGTGATCATCATTAATTTATGAATAAATGAGCTTGTTTGGTATTGATAAAGCAGCATAAATCTCTCCCCTGCAAAACACTGCGTTTTGTACTCAGCATCTTCACATGTAGCTCTGTGAAACGAATAAATATATCATTACAACAATCTCCCTGCACTTTTGTGCTTTTGATCTATAAATACAGAAATTGATGAAGAGATTGTTACAGTTAAAATTTTGTAACTCATTCGTTTGTAGCAAAATTCTTTGCAATCTTCCAAGAGGGGAGTATGAGTTGGTTTTGAGCATATCAGCTGCCTGTGCGTTTTGGACTGAGCACCGTGGTGCTGTGGCGAGATCTGTTCCAGTGCAGACTTTGCCACTTCAGACCTGTCTAAGGCTAGTCTGCATGTGCTCCAGTCATGCTAGGGACCTTGCTGTACGTAGGTGCACTCTCGGGAGCTATGGTGAGATGCCAACACGTTGGCCAACAGGGAACAAAATACCCATTTAAATTCCCGTGGGTTAACGTAGAAGTTTATAGTGTGAATTTGTTTAGAATACACTTCCAGGTGTTCAAGAGGTAGGAATCGTTCTTCAGTTAGTGATACATATTTGTGTATCCAAAGGGTAGGAGAAGGACCCTGTACAGTTCCCCAGCGCGTGGTCTTCTGGTGGTATGGTAGGGAAGAGGGGTAGCCTGAAAAGTGTGCTTAGCCCTGTCTTTCTGGAGAGAAGGACCTCAGCAATGTGTCCAAGGCTCCTGTTAGGGAGCAGCATCTATAGTGATCCTATATTTTTGTACATTTTTAAGATCTATGACATTTTCAGGCTTTGCAAAGAGTAAAATGATGGATTGAAATGGCCATGTTGCCTCAGTGGTGCTGTGCTACGGTGTGCAGTGATGGATTCAATAAAAGCCTCCAATGAGATAATAAGCACACAGCACTTTTTAAATCAATGGCCACATTTTTTTATTTAGCATTTTATTGCAAACTGCAGCATTTTTTAAGGAAAAAACAGAAAACATTTCCATTAGCTTGCCATAGGATTATTTTTAAAAGCCTGTATTGAACTAACTGGTATTAAATATCAGTATATGTGCTTAATACAAGTATCAGGAGCTCTGAAAACATGGATGCAAAAATTTACCTGGAAGTGTTGTAAGTAATAACTAACTTATGGAAATCACATTTGATGCATGTCTTTTTCAAATAACTAAAAATACTGCTAACTTTGGAGGTAACAGAGTTGTCCTGTTACACCATTGTATTTTTTTCTGAGTCACGCTGCCCAATATGCAGCTTTCATTGACAGTATAGAAAATGTGCAGGTAGCATTAGTAATTTCGGGTAAGGAGTAGTACCCAGTGCTTTTGCAGTCTGAATGGAAAAGTTCTGCTTGCAAGGAATAGTAGATTTCTGGGGTTGATACATGCAAAATTATTACGTGGCTGCCTTCCAATTTTGTACACAGTTACCAGGATCGTTCTTGCTGAGGCACCAATCTCCCTGTAGATAGCACCGGCCAGTCTTGCAGTTGGCTTTTTCACAAGTAGATTTCCAGTGATGGAAATTTTTCACTGAATTTAACACAGTTTGGGGTGTGTGATGCTCAAGTCCAGGCACAGGACTTCAAGGGAGTAAAATGCATATTAGAGGAGCTGATTATCAAGTCCCAGGAGAAGTAGCAAATTAAACCAGTCTTGGTAGAATCAGTACGGCTCACAGAATTCAGAGCTACATTTTCTAGAGAAGATTTCAATTTAATTGGCTGAATGGCAAAACATGAAGTTTTTATGAAATAGATTGAGATGGAGGAAGTAAATGAACTGAAATCATGCATATTAAATAAACATTAATAACCAGAGTTTCTTGCAGTGCCCATGGAATTTGTGCAGGCATCAAAGACATACTTGCTTTGGAAAAACTCAGCTACTGCTACAATGCTAGACCCCATACTGGCCATAAAAGCAGCCCAGGGGAGTTACTATAAAAGAGTTTATGTCAGGAATTTGAACCTTTGGGGCTGGCATACTGTAGCGATTGCAGAATTTCAAAGCTTTGTGCTACACAGAGCAAGATAAAATAGGGGTAAGGTAAATCCCCCAGGAATGAAAAAAATGCAGGATCATCATATAAAATAAATGTGACAAGGCCTTAGTGGGTTTTAAACTTTATATTCATAGATTCTAAGGCCAGAAGGGACTGATACAATTGTGTAGTATGACCTCCTGCGTAACACAAGAAACAGGACTTCCCTAAATTAATTCCTACTAAAGGTACAATAGCTGTGGTGGAACTAAAGCAATAGTTTTCAACTTTTTTCAAGCTGTGGACCCCTAAATATTTGCTATACTGCCTTCACTGGATAATTGTTAATCATTTATCACTGGATAAATGTTAATTAACTAGTTAGGCTTTAGTTGTCTTTGACGGATATATTGTCCAGTGATTCCTGGAGATCTGGGGATCGCAGTTTCAGAAGCAGTGAACTAGACTGAAGAAGGCAAAAGGACAAAGACAAGAGTCTTGACCCAACTCTGTAAGTTCCATTTCAGGTGCTAATAAAACCCAGTTATGGCTGCATGTCACTTTATGTAATTAATTTTATATTTAATCTGTGACTGAAAATAAATACACTGAGCTGAACCCATAAACATACTTAGCCATTCAGACTGAGAATGGTGATCTTCCCTCAGGGCAATAGGGTGAAAACTTAACAGCAGACTTTCTTTAAGCATAGAAAATACATTGCAAAGCAGACAGTATCTACAGCCATCAAGTGTACCACTCTGCTAATATAGTAGCAAAAAGTAACTAATTTAAGTTTTGGTATTTGGTGAAGCCGGGAACAATGCTTTTTGTTCTTTTTGGAAGTGAAGTAAATCCTGCGAAACAGTGAAATATGTTGCAATATTTAAATTATGGACAGTGGTCAACATGAGACTTCATGACTACAAAGGGGATCCTGTGGAAATATGGTATGAAGGGGAAGCAGCTGTCCCATCCCATTTTCTGTTCAGTGACTACTCCACTATACATCTTTAAAGTGCCAGGGTAGGATAGAGAATCTTTGTAGTTGTGAGGAATGTGCCAAGAAATTAAGGGGACTTTTTCTTTTTTTTAACATTTCCTGGTTTTCATTCAAAGTTTGACCTCTTGCAGATTTATTTATACTAAATGAAGACTGTGTGCAGGTATTTTCAAAGTGCAAAATAACTTGGTTTTTTTTTTAAAGAAAAAAATCTCTATGCTAACAGACATACTGTGTCAGGTTTGCAATTGAGAATAACCTAAGAAAAACAGAACAAATTAACGTAGGATTCTTACAGCTGCTGTGATTTGGTCCCTTTGATCAAGAGCTCTTCCTGGAGTTGCATTTTGTTAGCTTGCCTGTTGACTGTTTGTGTTAAATTTATTGTGACATACCAGATTTCCATTTGTCTAAGTAAAATCTCAACAGCAATATTGCATTCAATTTTTCTGGATAAAAAAAAATTCAAGGGAAGAACTGTGATAGACGTAATGTTTCATAATGAAGTTCATGACTTCACTCCCTCCTTTCCCTGACTGCTCCTTTTCCAGCACAAATCCTCTATAAGTTGGAGTCTTAACAGTGATGGAAAGAGAATCGCCCATGCTCCAAGCATGGTAGGGTACCACAAATCAACTTTGTAAAAACACCTAACTAATTGTAGTGTCTACAATAATCATGTATTAGCTATGACTTAGAATAATTTCTGTGGCAATCACTTCATTTCATCCTTTCTGTAAGTAAATGAATCTTGAAAGCGTTTCCTGAACATTGCAGAGGTGGTTGTACAGGAGCATTTCTTTTAAAAAAGGAAATTTATCTTCAGAAGTGTTTGTATTGTTGTTATTTATTAGCATTTCAGTTACACCTAGACACTGAAAAGTTAGATTAAAACACTGTTGTATTATGCTCTGTGCAAGCAAATCGCAAACATACAGCTCCTCCTGAAAGTGTTTGCAAGCCCAGCCCAGTGGCCAGCTGTTACTCAGGAGTCTTTTATGTAAAACTCGTTAACTCTTACCTATAAATGCTGTGTATTAGCTCTGCTCAGTGAAGTGGTTTAGCACTTGCATCACACTTGTGAACTTGTATTTCACTAAACTGTGAACACTGTGAACAAAGACCCCAGGCACAGGCCTTTGCGGAGGTTTGTGCAGACCAGGTCCATCTGTATGTCTGCCTTTTAAGTACAGATTCATAAGTCAAATGTGTCAAAGCACATGGTCATAGATTTCACTGAATCTGACCATGTGATTTAATGTAGTGGCAGAGCTACCTCTCATACTAGCCCCAGCCATTTATAGCTTTTCCTGACTCCACAGAAGTTGCTGGCTATAACCTGAAGACAAGAATTGCAGGTAAATAATTCTTGCTTCAGGAAAGAAAACACTACTCCCAGGCTAAAATTAGTGACTGAATCATGCAGAACCGTGCAGGGGCTTATTTTTCATCTTTGAAAATCCCAGTGCGTTGCACAGTGCATCTTTGTGTGCTACAGTATTGTGTAAAGCGTGCCTTTGACACGGTGAAGCTGGGAAATGCACTGAAATCTTCAACATTTAATCTATATTTTAAAATCTTATTTAACAGAACTCTCCCAGTAATATGAGCATGAGTAATCAGCCTGGCACTCCCAGGGATGACGGTGAGATGGGTGGAAACTTCCTAAACCCTTTTCAGAGTGAGAGCGTAAGTATTTCTTTACCTAGTGGTTGTTTTTTTGTTTTTTTTTTTTTACTTTGTGAACCTTTATCTCTGTCATTTTCTTAAAAAAAACCAAACCAAAACAAAAAAACCCCCAACTCCCCCCCCCCAAAAACCAGCAAGAACAGTTTCATAGTGAACTTGTAATGCAGTACTGTGCCCTAAGAGTTTTTTACTAGCTTCTCAAATTTTAGTATTGATTCAACAAAAAATTGTGCAAAATACTGCTAGAAGTTGAGCTGAAACTGGAAAATATGGGAGGTGTAGATTTACTGCAGAAACTCTTTTTCTAGATAAAGTGGTCAGTTGTCAATGAAAGTTAGGTCTGTCAAGCAGTACTAATTACGGCGCACGTATTCAATGATGCACAACAGGCATTTGTCAAGCAATATCCCAGCAGCCTAAATACACATAGTTGACAGTTCCTTACATCTGAGTTTTTTCAGTGTGTGGTTGCCCAACCTTTGACTCCTGAACAATGTGTTTTGCAGGGAATGCCTTTTAGAACAGGATTCACACTGAAGTGTGTAATTAGAGCACCAGTAGATTTCACATTGGAAAGATGCAGTGTGCTGTTAGTGCCAGAAAAAGCAAAGGTTCCCTCTAGTGTTCATTCTGGGACAAATTACGCTTTTTTAAAATGGAGAATACTTGAGGCAGCAAAATGTGGTGTAAAATACATTACAAAGCAAGACTATAGTATTTGCATACTCACGTGCTTGAAGCTGGGTTTCTAAATCCACATTTAGGTTCCTAAATAGAAGTGGCCTGATTTTTCAGAAGTGCTGAGTGACTTCAACACTTCTGTTCTTATTGGAAATCACTGCTGCCAGAAGTGAGTGCAGCTTCATTAACTATGCCACTGGTGGACTTCAGCTCAGACATTATGATAAGTAAATAGTTTCTGTTAGATCGCAGAGTCGTCAAATTACATGGCAAATTTCATGGGAATCAGATTTTGGGATTTTTTGAGTTTGCTTCTTTAACTAGTGAAAAGGAAGAGTTTGTGCATGTTAGCTGTTAGACTGTTAGTCTTCGTAAGGAGGGTTTGTGTTCAGATTTTGTGGGGTATTGGAGAAAATTGGTTTGTACAACCCAAAAAGACTGATGGTTCAATATCTGCCAAAAAACCCAGTAACCATAGAACCTCCATTAAATGTGATCCTTGGTCATGGTAATCTTTGACTCTCAACTTGGTGAGTGTTGCTTGTACTGAGGGCTGGCAGTCTGATCAGCAGGCAGGCCAGTTCACCAAACTAAAGTCATGAAAAGAAGGACATCAGCTGTACTCAAAAGAAAATCCAGACACTTACTGGATTCTGGGTGCTCCTAGATGTTGTTTTGCTACCCAGAAGAACCTGGGACCCAGTTTTCTGAAGGTTTTACGTGAGATACATGCCTACGAGGCATGCATTATATGTGCCACAAGGCATGTTGTACTCTTTGGGAACTGTCTTGCATTCTGATTCATATTTTGTTACTTGGCTACTTAGAGTAGGCATTACTAAGAAGTCCTTTCTCAGGCAGATGTGTTGTTCAGTTCATCAGGAGTTTTGGTTGGGGGTGAGGAATGGTGCTTGGCTAATAGTAAGTTAATAATCACAAGCACCTTTAGATAATTTTTAGATTCCTTGTTCAAAGTGATTACCCAGGCACTTTGGCTCAGATACAGAAAATCTCTTGAACAGATGCTTTGCCTTAAGCATTTGAGCTGGTCTCTGACATTGGCTAAAGATAAGCATGTCCTTACTAGCTTTGCTGGCCCACTGTGGGAGTGCTTAGTGCATGATAGGACAGACAAACCATCAGAGACATGACATGAGATAAAATAGACTTTAACCAAGTAGTCCATCCTATGCAGTTTCCATGACAGAGAAGACCCATCCAAAATACTTTTTCTAGTATGTTTGGATACTTGGAAGTGGCCAGCTTGATACTGTAGCTTTGGCAGGTGCTTTATTCCGTGTCTGTTTTTGCAAAGGCAAATTTATCTTTCTGTTTCTTCTATCAGTTTTCATAATGCCAGTACTTCTTGCATTTGAACATTTTCCTCTACTTAGAAGATTTTAGGCCAAATTAAGTGTTTCTGCAGTCCACAACTTTCAGTTTAAAAACAAATTAGGCATATAGATGTGCGCTTCTTCTAGGCACTGTGGTGTCCTATTGATTGTTGTAATGAAGTACTGCTAACTTGGGGGCTACTATAGCTTGTATAAGGGCTGCAGTTCAATTTGTGTTACAATAATAATGTAATGTGGTGATTGAATTTTTGATTCACATAAAGGAGGATGACCACTGATCCTTGATTCAGCTTGCCTCCTAAAATCGGTAATACAGAATAACAAAGACCAAAAGCCTAGTTTAATTCCAGTCAGATGTATCTTTACTCCTTTCCTCCCATAAAGTAATAAAAAGCCTTCCAAAATACTTCTGTGGTTCAGCTAACCATGAATGCTGGTCTGCTTCAGACTAGCTATCTGCCTAACTAAATCCCCCCAACAGCCACCATTGACCAGGAAAAGGCATGGAAAGCATCAGAGAAGTATTGGTTCATCACAGCACCCAGGTAACACCAAAACAGAGAGCTGGCTTTATCAGCAGTAGTTGTGTTTTTGCATAATGCGAGAAGCATAACAGAAGTTATGATATCACAAACTGAACTACAGCCTTAGCACAACTTAGTGCAAATTTAGGAGGAAGTTCAAGAGCATGTTGACATTTAAACTCATTGCTGTGGTCCAGAAGTGGTTTTAGTTACCTGGGGGGGGAAAAAATGGTTGTTAAAATGTGGATTCCTCTTTTTTCAGTACTCCCCTAGCATGACAATGAGTGTGTGATCCGTTAACAAGTCTCGCCATGAAGACCACAGTGAGTTGGCCCTCTTCAGAGAGCTACTGCAGAAGAAAATTATTCGTCCCAGTGTACAGTTTAACAAAAGGATCTCAGATACAATCAGACCCACCATTTTTTTTTCTACCATCTCCCCCCTTTGGTCAAGACAGTGGGTCCCAAACATGATTGAGGCAACTGTAAAGAGTGGCGTAACAGAACCGCCCAAGATGGAACTGCAAACAATTATCTGTGTATGTACATGTGTGGGTTAATGTATATGTATGTGTGTGTGATATAGAAATACACACATACATATATAGACCTGCAGGACATTGTAAAATATTATCACATGACATCTTAAGTAGAAATGAGAAGTAGGGACTTTTATTCCATCTTTTTTTTTTCCACGTTTACATTTTAATTATTAAAATTTGCTTTCCCTCTCCCCTCCTGAACTGTTTTATGTTGCATATATCACTGCTTTATAAGTTATTTTTTAAGGTGAACTCAAATGATAAATTCTTCTGATTTTGTAAATGTCTGCCATTATGGATAGGAATAAAATTGCTTATAAGAGCTTTCATTAACTTGTGTTTGATACCAGTTACCCTGTGAATCACAAATTGTACTGTCTCAAGAAATAGAAGAAAGCTCATCTTAATTTTTGGAGAAATTTAATAATTTTCACCTACTTGGTGATTTTTTTTTATACTTTGCCTTTAAAAAAAGAAGCACTGAAGGTTATTTTTCTTCTTTAATTGAAGCCTAATATCTGCAATACCTATTTTAAATGGAAGCCTGAATTTGATGCAAGCTTCTCAGTTTATATAGAGTGCTATAAGGTTACTGTAAGTGAGCTCTGATTGCTATAGTATCTAGCAATAAAGTGTCAGGGCTTCTGCCCGTGGAAATGAGTTTTCTATTTAGCATGATCTTCTGTAGGGGTGCTAGGTAGTGGAAATACAGTAGAGTCCTTATCACTGAAACCTTTTCTAACAATTTGCTGTTATGTTTCCCATTTTCAGTGATTCTCAACCGAATCGTAGCAATCCATTATAAACAGTAACATCCTAATTATAAACAGTGTTTCCTAAGTCCACTCAAAAAATCAGGTCACTCTGCTACTTGGGTGTGCATTTTTCACCACATCTATCAGAATGAATTCTCCCAAAACTTTCCAGTAAGCAGTCTTTTTTTTTTTTTTTTTTTCTTTTTGAGCCAAAATGATGGGGTAAACTTTTTATGACTACTAGCCTTGTGAGGGTCTTACCTTTTGCCATGAACAGAAGAGAAACAAAGGTCTGGGCCATTTCATAAGGAGGTCAGCCTAGTTAACATGAAAGCTGGGGACAGAATGGAGAAAAGGCATATGGTCTTCACAGAAATGCTTCTGGAAGCAGTCCCGTGTCTCTTCAGGCAGAGCTCTAAAACCAAGATTCTGGTACATTTAGTTCCTAATGACTTCCAGCTCCCCCAAGAAAACAAAAGCTTTTCAGTTGTGTAGTGATCAAAAGGTCAATGATCAGCAATGCAGGCACAAAGTGGCTGAACAAAAGTTCACGCCGCAGACAAAAAGCAGTCTCTTTCTTGTATTTTGCATATAGAAGAGCCACTTAGGTAGGAGGAGCAGTTCTGAGATGTGGTATGTCCACGAAGTCTTGCAAGGAGATTTTTTTTTTTTTTTCATGAACTTGTGATAAAGAAGCATATGTAGTGGGCTCATTCTGACAGTAGTTGCACATAACAGGATGTGTAAGGAATACAACAATTCTCCTAACTCATTTTTATTTGCATTTATTATATATAGATA